CTGTCCCGCCTCGGGGACCCTGCTCACAGCCTTCTGCACGGTGCTGCTGCTCTTGGAGCAGACTTGGCAGGACGCTGCTCCCCTCTGGACCTGGCTCCGGGCTCAGGACGCAGCCCCGGAGCCACCGCGGCGGCCCATGCGGGGAGCTGCTGGACGGCAGTACAGTATTTAAGTGTCTGTAGACAACCAAAGAATAAATGATTCGTGTTTTTTTGCTTGGTGGTTTGTTCAAAGATTGGAAATAAGCCCGTCTGCCCTGGAGGCCTGAGGTGATGAAAATCACTCTGGGCAGGACGCAGCGGCAGGTGTGGTACCGGAGGGCCTGGCCCGGGCCCCAGCCTGCCACTTCTGTGTAGCCTCAGGGACCCGGCATTGCCATCTGTGTTAACGGGCTGCCCATTACCTGCCCACCTTCCGGGGCGGGGGGTGGGGGGCGGGGTTGGGGGGGTGTGGCCCAGATGCAAGCTCAGCTGTTGCAGCGCTGTGAATGCCGGGATTATTTCTAATCCTCTCCTGGCAGGGAGCGGGGTCAGCAGCACCCGGGCACGGTGCCCCGCGTCAGCCACGTGCTTCCCGCTCTGGCCTGAGAGCCCGCACCCGGGGCCTCCGTGTGCAGGACGCCGCCCCTCCAGAAGACAGGCTAGAACTGGAGCTCCGGCTCCTGAGGCTGTGTCCCTGGCACCAAGCCCATCGCCCTTCCTGGGCTTGACGTGCGGTAGGGCAGTGAGCCTGCGCACCTGCAGTCATCGATCATTGATTCAATCAACCGGTGTTCATTCACTGAGCACCAGCTACCTGCCTGATGCTAGGAATGTGGTAGTAAACCAAGCAATGTGGTAGTGAACCAAACAAGTCCCCCACTCATGAAGCTTGTGTGGTGTAGGGGAGACATGATAAATGTGTCCATACCTGTGTTTGTGTGTATAACCCTTGGAGGAGGAAAAGCAAGCCAGGGCCCCGAGGCAGAAGGAACAGCAAGGGGGCCAAGACGGCGATGCAGACTCCGGGAGGTGGGCGGAGCGTGGCCGGGGACCTCGGGGGCCTTGGCCACTGTGGAGTCTGGGCGTCTGCTCAGCAAGACAGGAGTCAGGAAGATTCCTAGCATGGGAGTTATGGAGTCACACTATAAAGCCTTTGAAAGATTTCTGCTTCAGAGTAAGTCTTGGGGGCTGAGACCAGGGGTGCAGGGCAGGGTGAGGGCACCAGGGCCTGGGCCTGGGATGGGCAGTAAAGGTGGCAGAGACCAGTTCTGGGCGTGTTTTTAAAGCAGAGCCAGCAGGCGGTGCCGATGGATGGAACAGGCGTGAAGACGACGCCTAAGCAGCTGGGAAGTGAACTGCCTGCTGCCGTCATCGGCCCACCACTTGGCCCACCGTGGACAGAGACCTAGCGAGGACACCGTCCTGAGGAAGCGGGGCCGCAGCCTCAGCAGTCGTGCCCGGGAGAAGGCACCAACGCTGTAGTAGTGCACGGGCCCTTGGGAGAGGGGAGACCCAGCCAGGAGGCTTTGGGAACAGAGCTTGCATCAGGCACTGCCTTCGGCGTTTCTGGCTTCCCAACAGCATTTCTCATGTATTATCCGATCCCTGTAAATCCACTCATGAACCAGACAGGTCAGAGGCATTCGCAGGGCAGGGAATTGGCATCGCCCTGATGCTGCCCTGGGGACACCTGCATGGGTTCAAGTCCCAGCTCTGCTCCTGACTCCAGCTTCCTGCAAATGCGCACCCGGGGACACAGCAGTGATAGCTCAAGGAGTCGGGTCCACGCCACCCTTGTGGGAGACCCAAACTGAGTTCAGGCTCTGCTTCAGTCTAGCCCAGCCCCGGCTGTTGTGGGCATTTGGGACGTAAACCAGCAGATGGGAGGCATCTGTCTCTCTGCCTTTCAACTAAAAAGTTTAATTTTAAAATTTCAGGTTGGGGGTGCAGCACTGTGATGTAACAGGTAAATCCCATATAGGCACCGGCTCAAGTCGTGGCTGCTCCACTTTTGATCCAGCACCCTGCTAAGGCACCTGGGAAAGCAGTGGCAGACAGCCAAGTGCTTGGGCCCCTGCACCCACGTGGGAGACCTGGAAGAGGCTCCTGGCTTCAGCCTGGCCCCCCCTGGCTGATAGGGCCATTTGGGAAGTGAACCAGTGGATGAAAGATTCTCTCTCTCTCTCTCTCTCTCTCTCTCTCTCTCTCTCTCTCTCTCTTCCTCTCTCCCTGTAACTCTGCCTTTCAATAAATAAATAATAAATCTGGAAAAAAATTAAGAGGCTGATGTGTGGTGCAGTGGGCTAAGCTTGGCACCTGCAACACAGGCATCAGTATTGATGGAACAAGGACATAGGTCTCAGAGCCACTTTGGCTCCTGGCCTGAGAGCAGATCCAGTCCCCCAGGGGACTCCCTAGCTCCTGTGTTCTTAGGTCGGCTTGGTCCCATGCCCTGTATTCTCCGCCCCACCTCTGCATTCTTTTCCAACTTACAGTTGCAGTTCAAGTCCCGGCTGCTCCACTTCCAATCCTGCTCCCTGCTAATGTGCCTGTGAAAGCAGTGGAGGATGGCCCAAGTGCTTGGCTCCTGCCACCCATGTGGGAGACCCAGATGGAATTCCTGGGTCATCTGGGGAGTGAACCAACAGATGAAAACCTCCCTCTCTCAAAAGCTCTGTCTTTCACATAAATATATAAATAAATCTTTAGGGTTGACATTGTGGCATAGCGGGTAAAGCCACCACCTGCAGTGCCATCATCCCATATTGGGGCTGGTTCAAGTCTTGGCTGCTCCAGTTCCAATCCCGCTCTCTGCTATGGCCTGGGAAAGCAGTAGAAGATGGCCCAAGTCCTTGGGCCCCTGCACCCGCGTGGGAGACCTGGAGGAAGCTCCTGGCTCCATAGAAGCTGAGAGACTTGCCTAGTGTCACACAGCTTTCCGCAGCAGAAGTAAAGCTGGAACTCTGGATGTCCTGTAATGCAAGGGAACACACTTTAAGCAGTGACGGTGACATACGCCACTCCACGGCAGTTTCGGTTAGCTCTGAATGGGGGCTAGGGAGGGCACCCCCAAAAGCTGGGGGTCGGGGTGCCCAGTTGCAGAAGCTGTGTGGGGTGTGGACACCACTCCACTTACGCTATATAAACCCAGATCTGAGCCCCAAGGCGCTGGCACCTTGGTGAGGGGGTGGCCATGGGAGCAGGCAGGACAGACTCAGAGTACCTCAAGTGACCAGGAGAAGGCATAAGCAGAAGAGCCTGGCTCTGGGACTGCCCAGGATGGAGGAACAGGCATCTCCGCTCCCTCACCGAAGGGGCGTGGCCAGCAATCTCAGAGGCTCAGAGACGTCATCCAGGTTGGTCTCACCCTGTACCCTTTGGGGGAGATGGGGCTCGGCCTTCGGGAGCTGCACCTGCTGGGCCAGGTGCGGCCCCAGGCCCGCTTTAAGCTGATGGTTTGTTTTGAGGGGGTGGCACTGAGGCCCCGTAGGCAGCACAGGCTGCCTCTATGAGGGGGTCTTAGGCCCGGGGCCCCTCAGAAAGGCAGGTGTGGGGAGAGACCCTGGGAGTCAGCGCGGCTCAGATCCTCATGGGAAGGCTCCCTGTGGCCTTCTGCAGGGGCTGCCTGATGGACTCAAAGAATGAACCGGGGTTGGGGGGGAGCTGGGGGCAGGGTGGGGGGTGGGGCAGTGCCTGGCTGAAAAAGAATTTGAACTCAGGACTGACTTGGCTGCCACTGTTCGAGGCCCCACTTGGTCTCAGGGCCCGCAGGCCGCCGCAGCACGCAGTGGATGCACAGACCCATGCGGCTCTGACCTTCCCAGCTCAGAGGGCCTCACAGGGACCCAGTGTGCAGACCTGCAGGCCAAACAGCGCCCACCCTGACCCCTGTGAGGGCCGGAGCTGCAGGCCATACCAGGAACCCACGCCCTGGGCGGGCACACAGGGCCGCCATTGTCCGAGCTGTGCCTGGCACCCTCTCGTTTGCATAGCCACGTGAAGAATGCGAGGGAGCAGGCTGGGGACAGGTCCTTGCAGAGGGAGGGGGCAGGGACTGTGGGGGAGGCAGCTGGCTGGGGTCTGCAGCAGGACCCTGTCTCCCCCCAGTCGGTCCAGGGAAGGCCGGTGGGCTGCCAGGGATGGAGGGGGCGGCCGGGGCTGCAGGCAGTGGGGACGAGGTTGTGACATTCCTGCTGCACCCACGCCACGCCAGGGGCCAAGTGAACGTGAGGGGATTGCTAATGAGGCTGAGGAGAGTTAAATATTCCCCTGCTCCTGAGGCCTGAGCTGGATGGAGGAAGAAAGGGGAGGTGGGGTACTAGGAGGGGGCAGCCTGAACCCCAGGAATGTGTGCAGAGGCCACTGCCCGCGCCAGGCTGTTCTGGAGCCAGGGGCCAGGGGCCGGTGTCCCAGCAGGAGCTGCTCAGCCGGCCAGCCAGGGGATTAACGAATGAGCACTCCGCTCTCCCTCAGGCTGATGCCAGGAGGTCGGTGCTGTCTCCCCAGCTCCCCGCCAGGCCCCTTGCTGGCCGGCAGCCAGCTCTGGCCCAGCCTCAGTGGGGCCCCCTACTGACTCCTCAGATCTCAAACAGACCCCACGGAGCCTCACACACCCCCGCACCTGCCAGGACCCCTCTCCCAGCTCCCCAGCCCAGCCCAGCATCTCCGCATCTGGCCCCAGATCCTTTGCCAAAAAGGTCTCCATGGTGTCTAACTCTAGTTTGGCCTGCTGCGAGCTGGAATTCCGTCTCCTTTCTGTCCTCAAGTCAGAGGGCAGAAAACCCCGGCGGTCAGATCAGATCAGCCGCACGGGGCAAAGTCCAGTTTCCCAGGGCTGGTGCCTGGGTGGGATTATGAGAATTTGAGGGCACTGGAACCAGGTTCCTAAGGGTTTCCTTGGGGGGAAAGGCCCTGGAGGCAGTGGAGCTACTCCTCCCAGCCCCTCCCTTCCCAATCCCCAGGGGCGGGGCACGGGGACCCACCTGGACGTTGGGCCGGCCCCTCCGCCCCAGGGGGCTGGGCATGAGCTCTGCTGGGACCCTGCCCTGGCTTAGCCAGCAGCTGTGGGCGGGCCCCTGGCCTTTTCCAACCCCAGAGCCTCCCCCTGCATTCTGGAGTCCGGAGCTGTTGCCTCTGCTGTCGCTGCCGCTGCTGCCACCGCCACTGCCCTTGATCGCTCACTGCTCCCCCGCCCAGCTGCCCTTCTCACCTGGCCATGCGCACAGTGCCCCTGGGGACTCCAGCCCAGCTCTGAGCCCTGGGACCCTCAGCCCCCTCTCCCCCAGGGCCATGGCCAACTCGGGCCTCCAGCTCCTGGGGTACTTCCTGGCCCTGGGCGGCTGGGTGGGCATCATCGCCAGCACGGCACTGCCGCAATGGAAGCAGTCCTCCTACGCGGGCGACGCCATCATCACTGCCGTGGGCCTCTACGAAGGGCTGTGGATGTCCTGCGCCTCCCAGAGCACCGGCCAGGTGCAGTGCAAGCTCTACGACTCGCTGCTTGCCCTGGACGGTAGGTGACGGGATGGGGCCGGGGGGAGGGTGTTTATCTCGGGACAGCAGGGCTGGGAGGTGGGCTAGGGAGGCAGGGAGGGTCAGGAGCAAACTTTTCCCAGTCTGGGGTCAGTGTGGGGCTCCACGGGCTGGTGCCACCCCTGACTCCCCACGGCCGCCCTGTGCTCCGGGAGAATCCAGCCTGGGATCCTCTGTAACCTTGAATGAGTCACCCAAGCTGTGAGCACTGGGGGTCCTCCCTGAGAAAGGCAGGGCTAACACCTGCTGTAGGACATGGGCAGGGCAGGGGGCGGAGGCCCAGGTAAGACCCCCCTCACCTCTCCCACACTTGTGTGTGTGCACACCTTCACACCAGGCTGCCACCCTGGCAGGTGCACCCCATGGGCAGATGCACACACTCACAAGCACGGGGGCTTGGGCACAGGCCTCTCCAGGGTCTGGAGTGGTAACAGACAGGTGGCTGGGCAGGGGGTGTCACTGTGGAGCTGGGCCCCCACCCACACTCTGCCCTGGGCCCTCAGAACCGCCCTCAGCACTGCGCTGGTCCAGGCAGGTGGTCCCGCCTCCCTCAGGGACCTAGGTCTCTAGAGCAGGCCTGGGGCCCAGAACTGGCCCCCACATGGGTGGCTCCCCGGGCAGGGGGGAGGGGTCACTGCAGGGCCTCCGACACCCTCAGAGGCTCCTTGCTGAGCCCCAACAGGAGCTCCACCCTCCCACTGCTTGGGAGGGTGAGGCAGGCCCAGAGGGAGGCCGGCCCAGGAAGCAGAGGAAGAGCGGATTCCAAGGACGCGGTCACCACGCGCTACGGCAGAGCCTGTGATGGGGTGTGGAGGAGGAGAGTGAGAAATGGGAGGATAAAGAGGGGACTCTCCTAGCCCTGGCCTCGATACCTTGGTCTCACCTGCTGGCCGGCCAGCTCCTGCTCAAGCCCCTCCCAGGCTGGGCCCCTCCCACGCTGGGCCCCTCCCACCACAGTCCAACCCCAGGCTCCGCCCCACACTGAGTGCCGCCCCGCCCCGCCCAGGTCACATCCAGTCTGCGCGAGCCCTGATGGTGGTGGCTGTGCTCCTGGGCTTCGTGGCCATGGTCCTCAGTGTGGTCGGCATGAAGTGCACGCGCGTCGGGGACAGCAACCCCATCGCTAAGGGCCGTGTGGCCATCGCCGGGGGCGCCCTATTCCTCCTGGCAGGTGAGTGCTCCCCGCTCCTCCACCATCCGGGCCTCGCAGGTGGCCGGCGGGAGTTGGATGGGAGGGCACCCTAACGGAGCTGAGCATCCCGCTTGGTCCGCAGGCCTCTGCACCCTGACGGCCGTCTCGTGGTATGCCACCCTGGTGACCCGGGAGTTCTTCAACCCCAGCACGCCTGTCAACGCCAGGTGAGTGCCAGCTGGGCTCCCGCTTCACCTGGGGGCGGGGGCGCTGCCTGAGAAAGTCTGGAAGGGAGCCAGGCAGGGTGTGGCCGGGCGCACTGCAGGGGAGCAGCGAGGACCCTCCGGGAGCTGACCAGGTTTAATCCCAGCTCTGCATAGATTGAAGGTATAATCTGGGCACCTGCCTTCTCCCCTGTAAAGTGAGGGGCGGCACACCCGTGGTTGTGAGGCCGACAATGCAGGCAGCCAGGTAGCCGGTGCCCAGACCCTGGAGGATGCTGGGTAACCCTGGAGACAGCAGGGCAGCGGTGTCCTGCAGTTATGGGGGGCAGGGATGGGGCTGCAGCCTGGTGGAGGCAGAGCAAGGCTCCCAGCTTGACTAGGGCAAGGGGAGACTGTAGGACGGAGTGGTCAAGGTCTGGAACAGGGGCCTAGGGCCAAGGAGGTAGCAGAGGAAGGCAGGCTCAGAGACACTTAGGAGGGCTTGTCAGGCCCCGCCGTGGGCTTCTTGGAAGGGCCTGGCCAGTGAATGGGATAGTCCCAACTCCAGACATCTCAATGGGCCTCGGGCCCTGGAGTCAAAGGAAGGTGAGAAAAATTGCCTGGGCTGCTTTAGCAGTCAGGAAGACTTCCTGGAGGAGGCAGAGGCGTGGAGGGGGAGGAAAAGGAGACCTCAGGTATGCGGCTTGTTCCCCCTGGTGGGTGTCTACAACCACAAAGACCTGGCTCAAGGATGCCAGGCTGGAACATTGCTTCAACAGGCCCTGAGGCTGCCAGGTCCCGTGCTGGACCCTGGGGAACAGACAGAGCCCCCTGGGGCTAGAGCAGCCTCCTGGTGAGGAGTCTGGTGGGGCAGGCGGAGCACAGAGGGGGCCAGGAAGCTCCCCAGGAGGTGGCCACGGAACTGGGCTCTGAAGCTGGGGAGGTGGAGACTGGGGCAGGTGCCTGGTGCTCAGGCACAGAGCTAGGGAAGTGGAGGTGGCAGCCAGCAGGGCCCCTGTGCAGAGCCCAGAGGGCGGGGCCTTCTCCCAAGGGAGCAGGGGTTGTCCTCTCCTCCCATCTGGAGTTCATAGGCCCTCCCCTGCCCCTCCACTGGCCGGATGAGGAAGTGAGCCCAGGTTGCTCAAAGCGGAGCATGGAGGGCAAACCTCAGGCCTGCAGTCCCCCACCTCCCCACTCCCAACCCCTCGGGCCTGGGCCACCTGTGGGATGGCACTGTCCTGGGTGGGGGCAGCAGGAAGGATGGGCATTCACCCCACTTATCTGGAGGAACCGGGGAGGGCTGTAACCCCAAACTGCAGGTCCCCCCGCCGCTGTGACTGGGAGGGCCTGGGGTCGCAGCCACACCTGACGTTCTCCCTACCCCTTGCAGGTATGAATTTGGCCCCGCCCTGTTCGTGGGCTGGGCCTCGGCTGGCCTGGCCATGCTGGGAGGCTCCTTCCTCTGCTGCACGTGCCCTGAGCCCGAGAGAGCCAACAGCAGCCCGCAGCCCTACCGGCCCGGCCCTTCGGCTGCTGCCCGAGAGTACGTCTGAGTGCGCCCGCCCGCCCGCCCAGCGACGCCTCGCCCGGCACTCCAGCCAGCCCCCACGGTACCCGGGGCAATGGCGTGTCCCCTGAGCTCAGGCCAGGGCTCTGGGCAGTTGGTCTGTAACATGGACACCCACCCTGCGATCTGAGAGCCAGACCTAGACATTTGGAGAGGGGCGAGAGGCAGGGCCCACGCCCGTCTGTGCAGCCTCATGGGCAGCCTGTGAATAGCACCAGCCCAACTCACCTGCCCTCGAAGGGCTGCCAACCATCTACCATGTGCTGGGCCTGGGGCAATCCACCGTGACCAAGATGGGTCTCAGTGCCCGGCACCTTCGGGTGGGGAGAGCCCTTCCCAGTCCCTGGTCTCAGGGAGGGCTCCTCCCAGGAACCCCATGGAGGAGGCAGTGCCGGGAGGACCGTCCCCATGTTGCACATGAGGAACCCGAGCCTCAGACCAGCAGGCTCGGCCACGCTCTCTGGCTCCCTCCAGTGCGCCCGGCACTGCCTGGACACTCGCACTGACCGCTAGGTCAGCCCACCTGGTGCCACCCTTAGGGACAGGTCGCAGGCAGCCCACTGGCCAGGCCCCGTGCGGCCAGGGCTCCACGGCCCCTGCCCCTCCCACTAACCTACTCTCTCTCTTTTGACTTTCAGACCAGTCGTTAAATTGCCCGCCTCCGCCAAGGGCCCCCTGGGTGTGTAAAATCCAGATCCCCAGCCAGGCTCTGTCCCCTGCCACATCTACACTGTGTGTTTGATATTTTATGGAAAAAGAAGCGACCATCAGCCCTAAGTGCGGTGTCATTTGGTCTGTCCCTGGCGTGGCGTGGAAGGGGCCAGGCTCAGGGAGCTCAGGGTTGACCCCTGGGGCTCTTGCTGTGGGGTTCGGGGCCCACCCAAGGCTGAGCAGGAAAGAACCGGGGGCTCCTTGCCCTCCCCAGTAGGGTGCCCGGGCTGGCCTCAGGTTTGGCACCAGGACCTCCGGGAGGGGTGATCCTGCCCCCTGGAGGCTGCCCTGAGGCCTGGCCCCGCAGACCCCCTTGGAGGAGCCCCCGGGGAGTGAGGCCCACAGGTGACAAGCTCTGCCTGTTACCCTGGGTGCCAGGCAGCAGGCTGAGCAAGGCGACCTCGTGTGGTAGGCTGCTCAGTAGAAAAGGCGGCAGGGAAGGACACTGGGACCTCTGGGCGTCAGGGCTGAGGCCACCCACCCCAGTCCTGCCCCGAATCCAGGTCTGCGAGGCCCCAGCCTCGCCCCAGAGCGGGAAGGGGGGCAGGCCGGCTGTGGACAGAGCTCCGCGCAGCACCCAGAGGTGCAGTCAGAGCCGGACAGGATTCCGGTCTTGAAGTCTGGGGGTCACCTCCCCTGCAAGCAAGGAGGAAAGGCTGGGAGGAATGCAGGGAGCCCCGCCCAAGTCAGCCAAGACTGTCCTGCGCCCTTGGTGTCACCCCACCCACACAGGGCTCCTCCACGTGCAGGCCCCTCCCACCCAAACCCCCTCCCTGGACCCTGCATCTCTGTGTGGCCACTGCCCCCACCCCTCCCGCCGTCCACACAGCAACCTCAGGAAGGAGTTGTTACAACCTACAACCCCTTCCCCTGCCCCTCACACCCCGCCTCTGCCTGGCTTCCTCTAAGTCATTGAGTCCCGAGGACACAGCTCGGTTCCCACCTCGAGCCCGATGCTGAGCAGTAAAGCCATGGGAGTCAAGTGAGACAAGCTGGCTGTCACGCAAACTGCAGAGGGTGCAGAGGTGTGACGAACGAGAGAGGCAAGTGGCAGGGGCTGCTGGCCTGGCTGCAGAGGGACGGCCACCTGGCCCTAATAGGTGCACTGGGAGTCCTGCCACCCTAATTATGAATGGGACAGCAAGGTCCTGGCTGGGTGCCTGCAGCTGAAATGCTGTGGCTCTCACCCGCCCTGGAGTGCACATCAGAGTCGCCGGGAAGGCTGACCCCAGGCTCTGCCGCAGACACCCTGGGTGCACCTGCTCCTCAGAGCTCCGGGAGCCCTAAGGGGGCCTGCAGTGTACACTCAGCACAGAGGCGCCTCTGTGAGGCCGGCTAGGCCACTCTGAAGGGTGGAGAAGAGCAGCGAGCCTGCAGCAGAAGCCGCTCGTCCTCCTGCCTGTCCTGAGTCCAGATCCTGTTCTTCCCATCAGCACCCCTGCAGGATGAAAGAATCCCGAGTTTGAGCTGTGCCACACACAGCCAAAAGAGCACCGGCTAACGTAGACTTGGCCGAGCTGCAGCTGAGCACGGCACTGGGAGTCCCCGTGATGTGGTGGGGCTGAGCAGGGACAGATGGTCCTCTTCCTCCTGCTCTGGGATTCAATGGACCTGGTCACGGAACAGCTGGACAAACGTGTGTTGTCTTTCCCCGTTCGTGGGGTGCTGGAAGCTGGGGACTTGGCAGGAGACTGGCAGGGAGTTAACCGTGCTGCCTGCTTCTCGCGGGTTCCAGGGGCAGCTGTGAGAGAAGCAAGATCCACACAAGCAGGGGACCTGGCAGCCAAGAGGGAGCAAGCGCCAGTCTGAGGCTCCTTTAAGGGAAGCTCTTCCTGCGCATAGCCAGGGACTAGAGGCGAGGGGCAGGTGCGCACAGACCTCACCAAACTGCACAACCAATCAGCGTACTGATTCAAACCGGAGGGCAGGCAGCTGGCACAATGCTTAAGATGCCGCTAGGGACGCCCACGTCCCATATCCCAGCACCTGGGTTCTAGCCCCAGCTCCACTTCCGGTTCCTGTGGATGTGAACCTAGGAGACAGCAACGGATAGCCCAAGTCCCTGCCATCGACATGTGAGTCCCGGGCTGCTTGCTTCAGCCTGGCCGAGCCCTGGCCATGGCGGGCATTGGGAGATTGAACCAGGACTGATGGAGGATTTCTCTCTCTGTGTCTCTGCTTCTCAAATAAAAAAATGAAAACAAATATAAATACATTTTTAAATTGTGGTGAGATCCTAGCAATGGGAAGGAGATATCAGGAAAAAACGCAGAGTTTGGAGCTCCAAGAGCAGGGAACCCTGACTCCCCAGCCTCTCCTGGGGCAGCCCCCTCCTCCTCCCCTCTAAATGTGCATGTCAAGGTCAGCGGGGCTGCCCACCAGATGCACACGCGGTTCCAGGTTTTATGGCCGGGCTGTTTGTTTACTATCCTAGCCTCAAGGCTACAGGATCGGGCTGAGACGGAGGGTGTGGCTGGGACTCGAGAGCTGTGCTTCTAAAACAGTTGGCTGTTAGGAAGCAGGTTTGCGTGAGAACAAAATCTGCAGCCTGTAAGATAGGATTTTAGGCTGAATATGCCTAAGGGCCCGCGCCCAGGGGCACCGCCACCGGAGGTGTTCAGCTCTGGGGAGCGGGCCTGGGGCCTCTGGAGGAGCCCACCAGGAAACTCATGCAGGGCCTGGGAAGGGCCCATGAAATGCACACGTGAGGCTATGGCCTGTGGCATATTAGATGCTTTGGGGGAATCTGCTAGCTTTGTGTTGTAGATCGTGTTAATTTCATGTGATAATGATGCTGTGGTGATTACTTTTGCATCCTGTAAAGGCATGCATTGAAATGATACTATGGCTGGGTTTGCTTTAAAATGCTCTAGGAAAAAAAAAAAAAAGAAATAAAATGCTCCAGAAACAAAAGTTTCAAGGGCAAGGAAAGTTATCAGACTGGTAAATGCCAGTGGTACTTAAAGGTTCATGCTACTCTTCTCTCTATGTGTATGTTTGCAAATGAAAAAAAATAAATAAGAGGGATAAAGATACCTCTAAGGTCATGTTTTCCGGCTGCTGTGATTCACCGTACAGCATCAGAGCGGGGAAAGAGGGTGCTGAATGCACAGGTCCCGGGCTTGCCATGGAGTGACGGCTCAGCAAGCTCATCGTAAGTGGGAAGCATTGTAAGTCAAAAACCATTGCATACACCTAACCTACAGAGTGTTGTGGCTCGGCTTTGCCTACCTTAATCGTGGCAAGAAAACTGAAGAGTAGCCAAAAGTGGAACACCTCATCTTATGCGAAGCCTCTTTCACAATTAAGCTTTGAGCGCCACCTGTCATTATTGTGCACCTGTATCCAAAAACTGCTGGTGACACAGGAGGCTGCAGAGCAGCAGCTGTTTCCCTCATGATGGTGGGAATGATGGGGAGCTGGGGTACCCCAAGAGGATCATTGCTAATGCAGGAAAATATCAAAGTTCAAAATCGGAAGTACAGTCTGTAGTGAATGCGTATCGCTCTCACACCATCCTGAAGTCGAAAATCTTAAGTCAAATCATTGTGCTCCAGTTCCTCTTGCTACTCAAAGTGCAACCCTCGGGGCCAGCATTGGGGCGCAGTGGGTTAAGGTGCAGATTGCAACACCGGCATCCCATATTGGAGTGCCAGCTGCCCTGCTTCTGATCCAGCTTCCTGCTAATGCACCTGGGAAGCAGCAGAAGATGGCCCAAGTGCTTGGGCCCCTGCCACCCATGTGGGAGACTCACATGGAATTCTAGGCTCCTGGCTTTGGTTTGGCCCAGCTCTGGCTGTTGTGACCATTTGGGGAGTGAACTAGCAGATAGAAGCTTCTATCTCTCTCTCTCTCTCCCTGGGTGTGTGTGTGTGTGTGTGTGTGTGAGAGAGAGAGAGAGAGAGAGAGAGAGAGAGAGAGACCTTCCCTCCCACAACCTCTCTGTGACTCTGCTTTTCAAATAAATAAATAGAAAGCAACCCTAGAAATCTGGGACCTCAGGCCCTACCCAGACCTAGGTAGTCAGAGTGCATGCTAACCGGCTCTCCGGGGACCTCGTGCACTTTGGAGTTAGAGACTCAAGCATACGTGGGCCAGTGAGCACTGTGCGGCTGTGTGGTGTCTCTCCTTTCTTAAATGAGAGTTTAATGTGAGCTGATGCTGTTTCTGCCACCTTTCCTATATCAGGGATATTGAAAGCATTTCATGGATGATTTTGTCTAGAATTGGCAATTTATGCGGACCTACAACTAAACCTGGTCCAGGCAAAACTTAAACGAGCAGACAACATCCCCAAGTAGCACTTCCCAACGCTTTCTTCTCATCAAGAGGATGGCCTGTGCTGTTCTCCTGAGCAACCCTCCTGCTACGAACAACTCAAAATTGTTGGGTAAAGCATGAAAAAAAGCTTCAAAGTTCACAAGACAAAAACGGGATCCCCAAGTCCAAGCTGAAGAAGCCCCTCCCCTCTCAGCTACGCAGTGCCCACAAGGTCCCCACAAAGCTGCCGGTCCCTGGCTGGCACGGTGGCAGATTCGTTCCAGGTGAGGAGCTGAGCAGTGATCGTCCGTCCTGAAGGCAGTGGGGCCGGGCTTACCCCGTCACAGAGCTCACATGCTCAGATGGGAAGGGCCAGAATCCAGCCTGTGGACCTGCATTGGAACTGCAAGTGTCTGGATGAACTCAGGCTTGGTTTGTTTCCATTTTATTTTTCAAGGCAGAGGGACAGAGACACTGAGACAGATCTCCCATCCACTGATTCACTTTCCAAATGCCTACAACAGCTGGGCCTGGGCCAGGCCAAATGAAGTCAGGAGCCCTGAACTCAGTCTGGGTCTCCCACACGAGTAGCTTGAGTCATCACCCACTGCCTCCCAGAGTGCATATTAACAGGAAGCTGGAGTCAGCAGTGCAGCTGTGACTTGAACCCAGGAACTCTGATATGGGGAGTGGGAATCCCAAGCAGTGTCTTCACTGCTCTGCCAAACACCTGCCCCACTGTGGGTCTTTTTTTTTTTTTTAATTTATTTGAAAGGCTGAGTGAGAGAGAGAGAGACAGGCAGGTT